GAAAGAGGGAGAGAGCTGGTGATGTCAAAGGGAAAGGGGCTGGATTTGGGCGTTATCACGTTTGTTCAGAGAATACCTGAGGAGACAAGTCGGGAGCTGACAGGAGACAGAACAAAATATGTGTTTGCGTTGAAGCAAAGCCAGAGAGGATTGTGAACATCCGCTGTTCTGGTAAGACTTGATACTACACCTTTTTAACAGCAAGTAGAGTGAGCGTTGTTTTTCTAGAGCTACTAGTTTGTAAGTTGGGTTAAAAATCAACCTTTAAAAGTAACATTTTTTAAAGTAAGACTGGGCAGAGGTTTGCCTATCCATACTTGTTACTGAGCGTGAGACCAAATCGTCCGCAAAGCATCCATGTGTAGTTTCTGTGTGCTGTCTCTTAACTTTGGTTCACATTCGGATCTTGTCCAGACATACGGTGAATCACTGACCTAAATAAATGATTCATGCCTGGGTGACTTGGAGATGGACGTGATGATCCCTGAGACGTGTTGTATACTGAGTTGAGTCTTTGTGTAATGCCCCCCTGTGGCATTCTTCTCTCTCTAACACCTGCATTATTGCAGACCTGGCATGCCAGGTGGCCCAGACTGTAATGACAGTTCATGTTAGGGTCTGGCTTTTTGTTAATGACTGTGGTTGAAACAGGCTGCACTACTCATTTTATTTTGTAATAGTTCATTTTGTGTCTGTCATAATGGTCGTAGTCACAGTGTAGATGATTTTAGAAATAAAACATGAATATACCCTGGGACTGAAGAAATAAATGTGGACAGACTGTAAAGCCATCTTTTCTGGCATTTCACCAGCTGTGATCTCTGTATAAACCAGATTGTGAATTAGCTAGCATAATATCTGTTTACCTAATCAGATATTGTTGTTGTGACATTTTTACCTTCAGCTATACCAGTGGAAGCAGTTGGAAAACCTGTACTTCCGTGAGAAAAAATTTGCTGTAGAAGTTAATGATCCACACAGGTGAGCAGCAGGAGATATGCATTTTGTTTACGCCACTGGTTATTGTGTTGGTTGAATTTTTGTTTTGCTTACAGTCGCTTAGCTTCTAAATCAGCTGCTTTCTTTTCAGAATGTACGTTAAGAGATCGTTTGTCTCACTGTAGCTTTTAATTTAAAACACATTTGTTTTTTTTGGTGTCTTCCTTGCAACAGGAGGGCAGTAACCAAACGCACCTTTGGGCAGACAGGCCTGCTCATCCATACGTGGTATGCTAGCCATTCCCTGATCAAAACCATCTGGGTCATGGCCATTAGCCAGCACCAGTTCTACTTGGACAGAAAGCAAAGCAAAGTAAGTGTCAGTTATCAGACACTGCCTGTTACTTTTACAGCTGAGTTATCTGCTGATCGTTCTTTTACATTTCCTTATTTTTTAGGCCAAATTAGGAGCAGCAAGGAGTTTGGAAGAAATTGCCATGGATCTCACTGAGCATGGAGGGGCAAGAATAAACAAACTGGGAGAAGCAGGCCTCAAGAATAACTTTATAACAGCCAGCAATGGGAGTCTGGTGTCAACAGGTTGGTTGAAATTATTTCACATCATGAAACAAGGGTACATCAGACATTTTAGAACATAAATTATTATTTGCAGACGCAAATGCCTTTTGATCGCAAGTGTCTGGGACTAAGCTGTAAAACAAACCATGAGCTGGCTCACGCTGATGATATCACAATTTATAGCATGGATGGCATTTTTGGATGTAATTCACAGGTTCTGCAGACTCTGAAATGAGTGAAGAACAGAAGAAAGAGAAACTCTCTGAGCTGAGAAAAAAAGAGCAGGAGATCCAAGATATTTTGGCCAAGAAAACAAAAGAACTGAAGAAGATTTGCCTGCGAGAGGCGGTGAGAAGTCATTTTGTATTATACTTCTTATGTGCTGAAACTATATATATTTTTTCTAAACTGCCATTTTGATTCATTTAAGTGTCTAGGGCACTTGTTCTTCTGTGTTTTCAGGAGCTTACAGGCAAGCTGCCAAAAGAGTATCCCCTCTCTTCAGGTGAAAAGCCACCACACGTTAGACGGCGAGTTGGCACTGCATTCAAGTTAGATGACCTGTTCCCCTACAATGAGGTCTGTAACTACCTGGTGCACTTTGATCAAATGCACCATTAATTCATGCCTGATTGGTTTGTGTATAACAGTGTTAGAGTGTATAACGGTGTATAGAGCTGACTTACTTACTAATGTCTTTATATACTATAGATTAAACTGGTTTTGACAGGTTTACATTTTCAATAGGAACAAGCAGTGAAATAAGTAAAAAGAATATTTATCATCACATTAAGTGCACTCAGCTCCTCATTTGCTGAATATGACAGTATTGCATCTGCAGTGTATAATTTCACTAAGGTCCACCTCATATCAAAGCCTAATTAGATCTATTTTGTAATGCATTTTAAATTAATAGAAAAATCAGATGATGAGGATTATAATTTCTTGATTAATTAATCAATATTCGTTATTTACTGAGCTGCTTGTGTTTTGTGCAGGATCCTGTCCTGAGGAACCTGGAGAGCAGATTTGCTCTGCAGCAAAAGATTGTGGAGGCAGCTAAGAAACTTGCAAACGAGCCAGAATTGTGCAAAACTGTGAAGAAGAAGAGGAGGAGAAACTGTTTGGATGCAATGCACAAACTCCAGCAGGTAGAGGATGAGATGAACCAGTACAGAATCAAGAAGGGAAAGAAGCCCACCCAGCGGGCCTCAGTAATCATTGCAGGTATGGTGCAAGTTGACTTGTATCACTGCATTAATTATTTAGCTATACTCATAGTGAACATGAATTTGTTTTCTCTTTTTTTTTCAGATGAACTCATCCGTTCGGACTGTAGCTCTCTGTCTAGTCTCCCACTGGATGATGGTGAGTGCATTAAAATCCCAACTGCTATAATTATTAAAATGATATTTTTTCAAAAGATTGAGTGTCACTGTTTTTCCACATGTTGTCTTTATATTCAGATGATTCTGACAGTGTCAGTCAGAGGCCGCGGTCTCGGTCGGCCCAAGGTTCCCCTCAGCTCAGTCCATTGCGATTGCTGGGGCCAGAATATGATTTGGAGAGACAGGGAGCACTGAGGGACCATCATAATAACAAGAACCACAGCAGGTAGGGAAACAGATAGCCGCTCCCGCTCTCTGTTTTTTTCGTGAGGTCTAGAGTGAAGTGTAGCTTCTTTCAGAGCGTCTGATTTTATGACCTTGTACTTGGAATGAAGCAATGATATCATGTTTTGACAGTGTGCCTAATATTTGCCGTGTCATGTTTGCTGCTTCGATCCTTTCCTCATACCTCATTCCTTTGATCCTCTCCTAATATCACACCCTTTCAGGTTAGCTTCTGAAGTCCAAGAGGCTTCCCGGTACTATCAGAATCCAAGAGAGGACTCCTCCACCCACAGTAGTCCCTACAAAACCCTTCCCAGACCTCCTAGAGATCCACGCAGCATGCCTCCCACCCCAGTTATGACCCGCAATGCCTACAGCAGCAGCCAGCTCAGGTGTGATCTCTACTACCCTGCATTGCTAACCCCAATATCTTTCCTTCTCCTCAACAACAACCTCACTGCAACCAAATCCCTGCTCCACCCCCACCCCTCCATCCCCCAACTAAACCTCTGATACAAATTGTATTTTGCTAACAGATCAAGAAATATTATCCTCTAACTGATTTTGTTTTTTTTTTAAGAAACAGTGTTAAAGTTGTGTCCCTTCTCCAGGTCAGAGGGGTCTCCTCATTGCTTCAGGCATCGCAGCGGAAGTCTGGAATCACAGTCTCAGCGAAGAAAAGACACAGACTCAGAGAAGCCAGTCTTCATCTTGTCGCCAGCCCACCGCAGCAACAGCACAGAGGTGTTAGAGGATTGCTCCTCCTACACAAGTCAGTCTAGTCTGGACTTCTGCAATGCGGCCAGCTCTCACTACAGTACACTGGACTCCCGGACCTCATCCATGCATCGCCTCCGCAGGAAGGTGGAAGTGTATGGAAATACAGGGAGCATGCCCAATTTGCTCCAGAACCATTCTGGCAGTAGTTATTCATTTGAGACCTCAAATTATGCACCCAGTGCCTACTATGTTGCCGGCTATCCCTGCTCGGAGCCTTACACTAATGGTGCCTATGTGTATGAGAATGAAGTCGAAGGCCACTACAACGTCAACCCTTCTTACCAAATGAACGGGTATCATGGACATGAGAGATTCAGGCATTACAGCAGTGATCGGGCAGATGGTCTTTCCCAAAATCCCTACGCAACAATGAGGCCACCACGGAGCAGAGAGGGACCCAGAAATGAACTGTTGGCCAAGAACATGCAGAAGGCTCTGGTGGCAGAGCATCTGAAAGGCTGGTACCACCGAAGCAAGGGCCACAGAGAGGGAGGGAGGGGGATGCTGGCTGGATATGACTTTGACAGCGGCTCTCAGCTTAGCCTGGGCTACCAGACCATGCCAGCGGCCTTCAGCCATTCCAGTAGGACCACTTCCTTCTCCTCAGGTGACAGGATGTATTGGTTTTTTCTTTCATTTGTATGTGTATTTGAAAAACTATTAGTGGTTATAATAATAGCAAAAGTAATAGCACACATACCCAGGTCATTACAACTATACATGAACTTTGTAATTTTGACTGAAGAGGTGTCAGTGCATGTAGGTCAGGAAAGGGTATGACCACTAGTATGACTACTGACAGGTGAACGGAATAACTTTGGCTATCTTGTTATAGTGGCACCTGTCAGTGTGTGGGGTATATTAGGCAGCAAGTGAATGTTAAGTTCTCAAAGTTGATGTGTTGGAAGCAGGAAAAATGGGCAAGAATAAGAATCTGACTGACTCTGACAAAGGCCAAACTGTGATGGTTGACAACTGGGTCAGATCATCTCCCACACTGCAGGTCTTGTTGAGTGTTCCTGGTCCGCAGTGGTTAGTCAGTGGTCTAAGGAAGGACAGACAGTGAACTGGTGACAGGGTTATGGACGCCCACGGCTCACTGATGATGAGGACGACCTACTGTAGACCTTTTCAAAAGATTCCACTTTTAATCTTTGTTAAAAATGTTGAAAATGAGAAATACTGTACATTGGTCTCTATGAAGAGAAACATTCAGCGGCTTTAGTGATGATATCAAACCTAGTGGGGAGGCTGTTGAGCTCTAACTTGGCCTCACTAGCGCAGTTTTCACGCCTTTTTTCATGTTTTTCTCTGAATGGTCGACACACGTGGTCTTCCTGACAGTATAACTATGGAAACAAACAGATTCACAGGAGATGCACAGTGAGCTGCAGGGTGACACGAGTGCCGACCAGCTGCCACACTGACTTCTATGTACACAGTATTAGTCAGGTGGTCGTCATGTTGTGGCTGATCAGTACACACACACACACATGCTATGTTTTCATTCCTTATGGGGACTTTACTTTAACTTACATTCATTTCCTGTAGACTTAATCGTAACCACTACTTGCCTAACCCTAAACCCTAATACCTAACCTTAAACCATGTTGCCACCCTAAAATTCAGTGGAGTCCCCACACTGTGAGTGTGTTAACAGGTTTCGGTCCCCATAATGTAAGTAATACAAAGGCACACACAGTGAGTATAGATTTTCTTGCATAAAAAGCCAGTGTGTCAAACTGCCTGGCTCTGTATTTGTCATGGGCAAGAGAGACATTAGGCTTGCCAAGAAGTAAAGCTAGAGGCTCCCTCTCCATGTCAGCACTATCAACACTTATGATTTTATTTAAGTCACAAATTAAATCCTGCCAAAAAAATCTTGGATCAGAAACTAGGACCAGAGACAGTAGGTGAGCGTGCCAGTTTCTATTTTGCATTTAGGAATGTACAGAGAAGAATCCTGCTTAAACCTGCTAACGTTGACTGTTGACATCTGCGAAGGATTTTGTATTGCATAGCTCAGACCCTGTTGCAAACATATAGATTTAGAGTGCACTCATGCCTCATTCCAGTTTTCCCTTGATATGTCTAATTCCTTTAATAAAACCTGCCTTTGTCTTTGGCTAAATTAGAGTTGGATACATTTTTATATCAGGCTGCTGTCAGGTGTTTATTACATAATATGTATCAGTCAGTGGAGTTTGTCTCTCTCACTATGACTTTCTTCATCCATGCCTTAAAGAACTCCACCCAATACAATTTTATTTATGTGTATTTCAGTGGAGGGATATTGGATCCTGCATAGTTTTTCTAAACCAGTGGTTTTCTAAACCACTCTTTTAACCAGTGGGGTTAAAAATATATTCTGTCCACTGCATGAGAGCTTGAGGAAAGGGTCAAAATCATTTTTAAGTGTACTGCAACATGTGAGAGACATAAATTGGTATGTGTAATTTATTACAATTGTTTTTCAAACATACTCAGTACCTTAGGTTTTCATTTCAGCTGCCGGTCACAGTATGTTAATAACTTATTGCCATTTCATGTGATGGGTACTTAACAGTGTTTCCAGTGACAACAGTTATTACTGCTTTACACTCCAACATTAGCTGAGTGTTTCTGTGTTTGTTTTGTTTGCAGTGTCCTCAGTGGAGAGCACAGGCAACTGGCGCAATCATCTGGCAGTTGGCCTGACAGAGTATGAGACAGCTGACACACCTCAGTATCCTGGAGCTCATGCGTCTCCCTTCAACCGCAGCCCTACAGACAGCAGGTGAGTGCTGCAGTGCACTGCATATACACACTGAAGCTATGGATGCAAGAGGAAGTGAGTCAGTCACAGACAACTGGGGGGTTGTTCTTTCTGTTTAATTAGTGGCATTTCAGATGAAATGTTGGTTGCTATCTTAAGGATACAGTAATTAGCCTGCTAATGTCCCCCCACATCAATGCTCAGTGGGAGGAACAGATGTCACTGCCCTTTAATAGATGTCTGTTGCAATTCAAGGCTTTTGTTTTGTGTGCTGCTCTGCTTCTGAATGAAAAATCACATTGTATTTCTGAGCATCTGCAAAAAAAAGAGGTTTTATCTTTTCAATGTATTCTGCTAGTGTGTCTATTCAACTCGTAACAAATGTAATCCTGAGGTCTCCCATTTCTTCCTCCCCTGCCTCCTTCAGTTTTGATGATTAATGATCACTTGTGCAGATTTTCTACAGAAAACAAAGTGTCTGACACAATGCCTAATAAAACTGAGTCAGTTGAGGTGGTTGGCGCTGAGGCCACTAGTACAGATGAACCACCAGACAACCATGCTAGCGCTTAAGGGTGAGACCAAACACGGCAAGCTGCTTTGTGTCACGTCACCAGTCATCTTCAATTTGATATTCCATCCTCATTCATTTGTTACTTCATTATAGATGATTTAATCACATCATCCGCATTTTCATATTATGGTTGGTTGTGTTCTTTTCTTCAGGTACAGCATCTTTGTATGTGCTCAGAAATGTTTCATTCATTATCTTGATCTTGCACCTGACACACATCAAGGCAAGGAAATATCTGGGAGTGTTTATCACATGATTGATTAATAAGTAACAAGAATAAGAGTCTAAAGCAATTTTAGCTCTGCATGCTTGAGCTGTATGTAAGCACAGCGATGCTTTGAGCTAATTGCCAACATCAGCATGCTGCCATGCTGAAAATGATAATGCTAACATACTGATTATTAGCAAGTGGTCTTCTTACTATGTTCACCATCTTAGTGTAGTGTGTTAGTATGCCAATATTTGATAGTTGGTATTAAAGACAAAGTGAAGGTTAGGCTAATGGGAATGTCATTAGTTCTGTAGGTATTTAGTCATAAAACAAAGGACTGGACAAATTTGAATTTTGACCCAATGATCACCAAAGTTATTACATTTTAGCCCAAGCAAACACAAATGTCTGTGTCAAACTTCATGACATTCTGTCCAGTAGTTGTTGAGATACTTCAGTGTGGACCAAAGCTGGCAGTGCTATCCTTAAAGCTATGCTGCTAGCTCAGCTAAAAAGTAGCAAGTTTTCCTCACACTCACAAACTAATGTGGATTCTTCAGTTTACTATATTTCCATTTCCATTTCTTGGTTTTATCATAATGTTAAATCATGTATTTCTTGTTCTCAAACACTTGAACTACTGTATTTGACATCTGCTTCTGTGACTTTCTGTACAGAGTTCTTCTGGACAGAAGCTACATGAGCATCCACTGAAGAGAACCAGACTAAACTAGGACACATGTAAAGCCATGGCTAGCAGCACTTGAAGAGAAAGAAGGTGAAACACATGCTGTACACAAATTCTTGGACTGCCATAATTATCGTGGAAGATGTTCCGTCCATCTTGGCAGAGTCTAGGTGTATGCTGTTCTGATGTTAAACTAAACTCTGACCACAGTGATGACACTCTTGAATGACTTTCCCCTGTGCCTTGGATTGGATGAATTGTACAGGCAGATGAGAATGTGTCAGTAAACTTTAAGCTGTTGCACAACCACACTAGATTCATTTTAATACACCCCATTGTGTATTAAAGAAGAAAAAAGATGCAATGTTTTTACCGAATCCAAATCCATGTAATTTTAAAAGGAACTGGCTGTTGTCGTATACAAAACAGTATAGAAAAAATGATTTTCACAATTTTAATCTCAGTTACTAGGATGAAAATAGTCATAAATATTACATTCAACTTGAAAACTAAATTTGAAATGTTCACAAATGTGACAAGAACTGATTTGATCATCAGTAGGACAGACTGTGTGTTAGGTGAATTTCAATTTCTTACTTTCTTTAAAATTTAAATCTGAATGTATTACATTCATATTGCTTATAGAACCATTTCTTTTTGTTGGTGCTGTAATGTGTTTTAAAATGCATGGTGAGAACATCAAGCTTTTGATAAAAACTTCTTTTTATATTAACAGAAGACCACTGTTGTAAAAAATCATATTCATGTCTTGTTATTTGTTTTCTCACATATTTGTAGTCAGTGAGTAGTTAAATATTGTTAGATGTTGTCATAAAGTATTTTCCATTGGGAACCAAGGATGTTAATAAATACATGTGTGACACACATGGATGTTGTCACTTTCTTTAATAGGCTTGTGTGCTTGGTAAACAATCAGTTCAGGTTCTGCAATTGAGCAAGGAAGTGATCCTTAAAGGAATAGTTCAACATTTTGGGAAATTTAATATTTGCTTTATATATATATATATAGCAATACAACTGTCATAACCGTATGTTAAATATCAGGCTACAGTTTTTTGCTGTTTTGCTCAGTTCACTTAAACTTCAACTAATTTTACACTTTGGTTTTTGTATAAAGTAAACAAATGATATAAAAAAAAACCTTTCAAGGACAGATATGAGAGTGGCAACAATCTTCTCATCTAACTCTGCACAAAAGTCAGAAAAATGATTTGGCAAAATGTCAGACTGATCCCTTAAGGGTTTTTAATTTTCAGGGTGTCGTTTAAAAGAAATTCCCACAAGGTATGTATCAAATTTTCTTTGAAGTATAATCTAAAAAAAATATCAGAACTAAGTATCAATTCCCTCAAAGACCTCCTCTGGCTGTGATTGTTGTTGTGCAGCACTTCGAAGGCAATATTTTATATAACTATTTTTCTGGAGAGCTCTGGAAGTTCTCCAGAACTCTCAAGAGCTCCACCTTATACCCCTTGTACTTTAAATATCTTCCACACAGTTCACAGAGTTTAATTTTAGACTCCACATGAGGCAGGGGCAAACAGTTTCTAGCTGAAGTCAAAGTCAGAGGCAGTTTGCTCTGTTCTGTCATAGATTTGACAAAAGTTATCCTTCCATTTGATCAACAAAAGCAAGAAACAGGGCACAAATATGTCAAACGACAGAAACGATGATCTCAATGAAGAAGACATTGATGAGGATGAACTCCTTGCTATGCTTTCACCTGAGGAGCTTAAGGAGCTCCAGAGTGAGATGGATAATATTATTGCCCCAGATGAAAGTGTACCTGTTGGACAAAGACAAAAGGACCAGACAGAAAAGACTCCTACTGGGACGTTCGACCACAGATCCCTGGTTGATTACCTCTTCTGGGAGAAGGAGTCCAAGCGCATGTTTGAAGAAGAACGAGTGCCTGTTACTCTGCTGCCCAGTGAGGTAAGGGGTCAGAAAATATCATGGAAAGGTCATGGAAAGATCAGTCTATAATATCAAACATATCCTTTAGAAAGTACGAAAATTAGCATGTGAAATCCTGGAGCAGAGTAAAACTCCTTCCACCATGTTTGGATTAGCACAGTTCTAATCTTGATGTTCTGATTTATTATTTTCATCAGAAAATGTTGAGGGAGGAAGCTGAAAAGAAAGAAAAAGAAGAAAACACAGAAGATGTGAAATATGAAGTGATAGAAGAAATCATTGTGGAAGAAGCTGTAGATGGTACAGATGGAGAGGACGTTATAGAGGAGATAATTGAGGAAATTGTTGAAGAGGTTTATGAGGATGAAAAGGACAACAAGGTGGATGTGAACCACAAGAAAGAGGAGAAGCTAACTGCGATCACAGACAAACATGAGAACACAGACAAACATGTAGGTCCTGCAGAGGATGAAACAGAAAACATAACACAAAGCAATACAGATCAGCCTTTTCCAGACCCAAAGGAGAAGGAGACTGAGAGCTTAGCCACCAAATACAGCACATCACACACTGAAGAGAAAAATGAAATTAAATCGGAGGACTCTTTGCTCCCCAGAATGGCTCCAGAGGAGGCAGAGATAAAAGAAACCAACGATAAGCTCCCACAGAAAGAAGAGAAAAAAATTAACAAATTAAAAATTCCAAAGCTGGCACTCAGTAATATAAAAATCACATCAAGACCTTCAGGAAATGAGACAAATTTGGAATCGACACTTGATAAGATCCGTAACAACAACCCCTCTGTCACTGAGGTAAACCTCAACAACATAGAAAACATTCCCAAAGAGATGCTCTTAGACTATGTCAGTGCCCTGAAGAAGAACAAACATGTAAAAACCTTCAGTATAGCCAACACTGGTGTTGATGAAAACATAGCATTCAGCCTGGCAAACATGTTACGAGAGAATCGCAGCATTACCACTTTGAACATTGAGTCCAACTTTATAACAGGTAAGGGCATCGTCGCCATCATCCGCTGCCTCCAGTTCAATGAGACTCTCACAGAGCTGCGATTTCACAACCAGAGGCACATGCTGGGGCACCATGCAGAGATGGAGATCTCACGCCTGCTCAAGGCCAACAACACCCTCCTGAAGATGGGCTACCAGTTTGAACAGCCAGGGCCCAGGATGGTGGTGACCAACATTTTAACCAGGAATCTTGACCGCCAGAGGCAGCTGAGGAAGGAGGAGCAGAGGAAGCAGCAAATGAAGGAGCAAAAGGAGCTGATGCAGATGTATGAGAGCGATCTCAACCTGCCACCCGGTTTACTTGAGAGGCTGGGCTGCATACCACCCCTAGAGCTCCTGAAGGAAAATGGCCTTGTTGCCCCACCCTTGTCAGAACCGAGCACTGTAGCTCCAACACACCAGCAGGCACAGAAGCCAGAGCCTCAAAAGAAAGCAGAGCCTCAAAAGAAGCTCAAACATAAAAGAATTCCCACCGTACAACCAAGTGCCGAACCAGCCAATCCGTTAAAGGACGTCAAGCTGAAAAGGACCCCCAAAAAACGTGACCCTTTTCTGGAGCTGGACCCGCGGGATGACAAGAGAGCAGAGAGGCCCAGTTTCCAACTGAGGAAGACTCCCAAAGTGAAGGTTGCAGTGATGAAAGACGAAAAGTCCAACCTGACTGATGTGATCAAGACTTTGAAGCCTGTTCCTCGCAGACGAGTGCCGCCAAAAGTTGATGTCACTCCACGTGACCAGCTCCTAAATGAGATCAAAAAAAGCAGTGTGGCCTATCTCAAATCTGTGAGTATTTGACAGTTAGAGATCAGTAGTTGGGATCCTGTGGTTAGGACTAATCATTAGATTTGTCACATTATATTTATTTTTTATTACTCAGTGACTGTTAAGGCTCTCCAAACAGGAGAGCATTCATATGTGAATGTATCAGATTTTGTTAAATGTTGATAAAGTTGAAAGTTGTTCTAGGCTAATATACATATAATGACCTAGAAAGTGAACAAACATTTTATGTCTTATCCTTTGTTGCTGCTTGCAGGTGCCGCTCCCTAAAGCCCTGGAATCAAGTGAAACGAGTCTCCTCTGAGCTCAGAACTTCAGCTGCTTGTTTTCTGCAGCACGCCGTGTCTATTTAAACTTCTCTGGTGTTAGTCACCCTAAAACTACTCAACTCAAATAGCTGTAAATTAAGAGTGTTGTTGCTGTTTTTCATTACACATTAAAAAAAAATTATTTGCTGCTTATTGTGCCACCTTTATGTTATCTCGCTAAATGCTCATCTTTAGAAGTCATAACTATAAATATTTAATTTTTAATAAAATTACCCATTTCATCCTATCTCTGACGAACAGAGGAGAGTAAAAAATGTTGGTTGTTTGCAGAAGGCTTTTACACATTGTTCAAATATATGAGTTTGTGGCACAAACACATTAGTAGAGCAGATGTGTAGGTTGGATGATACATATGGAGTTAACCTGTTTACGTACTTACCTTTTGCTATTAAAATCTCCTGTTCTTTGCCTTGTGATTCGTAGCCCTATTATTTTTATTATAACTAAATAGCAGTGTGTAGTGTATCAGTGACAAACTAACGACAGCCACAGTGAATAACTGCAGTTTTTAGAGGTGCAGACATGAAACAACAACCAAAGGTACAAGTTAGTCTCTCGTTTTTCATAAGGGGAGATAAGTCAGAATCTCGTAAATAGATGCCATAAACATAATTAGCCAAACATCACATGACACAGTCCACAAGCTGCTTTGGGAGGCTGATCATTAGGTCACTATTCAGCCATCATAAATAAGCTTTCATCCATTTTAGTAATAGCCTACACTCCACTGCTTTGCTTTGAGTTTAATCCAAATAGGGAAACGAGAACTAAAACATTGGTGATAAATCTATACATTCACACTGAAAAATGACTGCAACATAAATGAAGTTATTTTTATTTTCATAGGGGACAGATGTATTTTCGGTTCTGTGATTTCATCATTTGTCAAGGATGAAAAAGTCACATAAAAACAGATAATATACAATGTAGCATCCATATAACAAACTGTCTCTCTGAACCTGCCAGGTGTGAACGAAGCATGCAGGCAATGTGTGAAAAGCAACAGGAAACAAGTGCTTTTACTGTCAGCAGTAGCCGTATAAAATGAACACTTACTTATTTTCTCTTCTTTAGAGGGAAAGTGGACTTGATGGGAAATAGCACAAGATGTCTCTAGTACAGTAATTACTAATGAAGAGGTAAGTTAAAATGTCAGTTTAATCCATACTTTGGCCTCAGGTTATATGTATACTCTGTACCCTGGAGTCATTTTATACATTTCTGCATGCTGTATTATGAAAATAAAGAGACATTACAATAAACACACATCACATAATATTTAAACAATAAAGCTGCACTTGCCATTCGTTTTACAATATTGCATAGCTGTGATTAGAGGGGATACACTCAGACCAGCTTGTATAGTCAGGAACTGTATGGACAAATTTTTCGGAATGGGAATATTTAAACACCAGGATTATTACTGGGGACATGAGACTATGACTGGTCTCAGCTCAGTATATGAACAGAACCTGAAATAACAAGTCCACAGTCACTGCTGTTTAATAAGCATTTAACTGCGTTGGGTGTACTCGGTGAGAACGTTTAACATGCTTTTCAGAGGTAGCCAACTGAAAGGATCTGATTTCTTTTTTAGAACAAATACAACCAATATCTAATACTTGCACTGTGTTCAGACATTCTGCTTTATTTTGCTGAAATAAATACACAGGCATCATGGAGAAGAAAATGGGTTGTAAGCAAGGGAGCTTCTTTTTTTTTGGAACCCAGGAATGCTCAGACCTTTGGTAAGCTTTATTGGCCGGTGCCTCTCAACATCGAATCCACATAGTGATTGTGCAAATCTTGTTGTTAGTAACCATCTGTATGCTTTGGACAGTGTAAACCACCACAAGCGTATATAAGATAAAGTAAACAAAAATAGGATAAAAAGTATGGGAATGCAAACTTCAGTAACTTTATGTGTATCGGGGATGAAAACTTAACACAATACTATTTTAATCTGTATTGTATGACACTGTTTTCCTTTGGTACACTCTTCACTAGAGCTTTAATCCTTCAGTTTGCTTTCAATAAAATCCTGAATCTTATTAATTTTCTCCTCCTGTTGATCCAGGAGGTCCAGGATGACGCCCATGGGGGTCTTCTTCAGCCCGACACCTTCAATCTTGTTCTCCAGTTTGTTCTTCATACTGCGCAGTCTCAGAGAGGCATGGATCAGGATCACTACAAGAACAACAACAGGGAGTTATTCCTATTTTTATCAATGCAAAAATAAGACTCACACATTTTTAGATGATTTTCTCTGTAATACATCTTTGGAATATACTGTAACAAAACAAAATGTGATACTGCTGAAACCCAGACTTGAAAGCATGTGTCAGGATAGCCGTATGTTTTATTCCCATGCCATGCGGATACTGAACACATGACATCAGTCAGTAAATGTAGCTCTGTTCAAATCAACAACCCATAGCAATCCATCCACACAGGCAGCAGTGGGCAGGCCTCCTGGGAGGCAAGCACACCGCCTCATTTATCTGCCACCATGCTGAAGCTGCAATACTTCCCCTAACGATCCAACCTATCAATTATCTAAACCGCTGTGCTGATTATTGTACTGTATTTAGAGACCTGTAGCAAATCCAAGACTATAGATTTACTTGACAGTGTAGCCGTCCCTGAAATTATTTCATTTCCAAATCTGTGCCATGAGTAAAATGCATGTCTGTAATACCGTACATGCTGTTCAACCTCGAGTGAGTCAGAACAAGAACGTTTGGAAAAACTTGTTCACCCACAGAAAAACCTCAGTTATGCATCCCTGTGTGACTCACCACAGTTTTTTTTCTTAATGTAAATTTGCCAACACGTGTTTGCAAAATGTCGCAGGGAACACAATGTTGAGAGAACTAAATCTGTACAGACGCCGTGTGGACCCCAGGGAGAGTAGCGGATGTTCAACATCAGCTAAAGGGGTTCCTAATAATAAACATATAGTTAAAGTGTCACTAGTTCCTAAAGTTAGTGGGACAATTTAAAGTGCAGTTGTCCTCACTACAAGTAAAATATCCAGTGTCATTGAGGAAACTTACTGGATGCAACAAAGTTAGCAGATCCTTTCCATTTTCATGTCAAAAATCACAAAGTTGCAGAGAATTTTTTTTAAACCTAATTAATTCTAAGTGGGACTGTGATTACTTGTTATCTAAAGGAAACTTTCCAAAATAGCTGACACCTAAGGTAGAGCACCTATTGTACAGTCTAAACTTTTCAACAATATTTTTAAAGAGTATTACTACTTGGATGACTAATAAGTATTTAAAATTAAATAAGGGAATATTTTATTTTTACAAGTTTATTGCGGTTGAACTAAAGAAAGCTACAACTTTAAACCACCCTAACTCTTGCAAAACAGGTTCAATCAGGGGTAAAATGTTTGAGTGTCATTACAGAATGAGACTTAAATTTAACAGAGCAGATTAACTGTGTCATTAAGGTTTTCCACCTTAGAAGAAAGGTTAAACCACATCTTGCACCTTGTGGTGCAAAATAACCAATTCATGCTTCAGTCTCATCTCAACTGGACTGTTTAAATGTTCTTTTAAACCCAGGAAATTAGCTTGTACAGCCTGTACAAAATACAGCTGCTAGTCTTAACCAACAGCTGTTTGAACGTTTTACACTGGCTGTCTCTTTTAGAATGGATTTTAAAATTTTATTACTAGTTTACAAAACTAAATTATTTAACCCCTCTACAGCTGATCACCTGTTTCTCTCTCTCTCTATAGTCCGAGCCGCTGCCTTGGGTCATCAAACACTACAGTAACAACAGGTTAGAAGAAGTGTGGAGCTCAGCACTGTGGAGCAACCTGACCAGAAAAAAATTAAATGCAACCTCTGCAGTTCCTTCTAGTATCATCTTGATACATGTCATTTAAACCTTACTTTTTAGTTTCTTGTTCTAATTTTATTTAAAATTACAATATTTTCTACTCAGTTTGACTCTGTTGTGAATTGTTTGGTTGCTACTTTTTAGTCAGATTAAATGTTTTAATACTCTTTAATAGTATGCACTTTTAGCTGCATTCAAGGTTTTATTTGAATTAACTTTATTATTATTACAAATCCCATTACTGAGTAAAATTTTAATTCTGGTCTTACTATTTCAGCAATAAGTTGATTAATAATAACCTGTGGCTATAATCCCCTTAATTTGAAAAGCCTATATAGAACTTAACTTTACAACTTGTTTATATTATTAACAGATTTCAAAAAGTAAGAGGACTTGTATCCTGTATTTAAATGGTCTGGTGTTGAAAATGCATTTGTAACTGCACTGAATGCACCCAGACTTACACAGCAGAGGGAAGGTGATACCAAAGATTAATACCATGACACCACCGCAGAGAGACAGCAGAAAGTAGCTGGTCACCATAACCCCAATGACAAACAGGGTGGGGTTGTTCTTTTTGAAGTTCTTGATGATAGCTTTGTTCTCTCCTACCCACACTGAACCCATGAAGACCAGCGTGACCACAGCTCCTCCCAGAAACATGCCCAGTGGGTTCATGAACCTGATTATTGGAACAGGAAAACAACATTGCACTTAAATCGGTATAAGAATGTTTTAAATAGCATAAATAAATAACATTCTGGCTAGTTTGCTGTAAACCAAAAGCGGTCAGATGCTTGCAGGCCTTTACTCATCATGCTCTATTCAAAGAAGAGTATCAAATCATATGTCATTTATGCACAGTCACAGCCAGCTGGCTCCAGTGATGTGTAGCTATTATAGGAGCTCCGCATCTGATGTAGCATCACAGATTCTCAAAAACTGTCAACATCCCAATAAGTAACTTAATCCTAAAGAGAATCTGTGATTCTTCGTTTCCGTTGAGAACAGTAAGCAGGTACACACAGTGTTAGCTCCAGCTGTTCTGTCAAATTATGCTAACGTTACCCATCTAGACGTGCTACAGTACCTACGACTCTGAAAGTGGTTTGGGTGAGGGATGGGGTTAGTGAATCCACAGACAAATCTCGACAAGGTAACACAATTTAGCAGAACATTTGCGTTGTTGTACTGATAGCATCGCTACCGAATACGATACGTGTTTATAAAACAAAAAGTCATAGGCCAAGTGGGATAAAGATCTAAAAGGCAGGGCTACACGAGCGGTAACGTTACGCTGGCACAGCGACGCCAATTGTTACGTTGAAATAACCCGTGTAGTCAGAATGGGTGTGGGTAGAAGGTATGCAGGCTAGTTAAACACAGAGCCACAGATGCTCTCCTGAACGCACTAGCATTTTCCAACTTACCCAACAATGACGAAAACCACCAGAGCCACGGCGAAATAATTCGTCTGGTAGTACAGTAAATTACTGATCACTCTGTTGTTCCACTTTGCTAAATCTCCGAACTCTGGTTTAGCAAAACGGTCCGTTCCGGGGAAGAAATCGTTCCACGGTCTGAAAGGTGCAAGCTCCATCTTGGTTGCCATGTCTTCAACGTATTGATAAACGACACACAAACACAAACACAAACATACCCATACGCTCTGCGTAATATTTTCTGTAGGTCAGGTGACCACAGTTTGAGCACTGAGAAAGGAGGAGGAAAGGAGTCAAGCAAGAAGTTGTACTCTCGCGAGATCTCGAGTCACATTGTCAACGAAGTGCTTGGAATTTCAGAGCTGCGTCCTACAATGCGCAGCAGTACCATCCTACTGTAAATCGACGGCACCACCAGAGAGTAAAATAAAACATACTGTAGGACCATGAAAGTTATTTAATGTAAACAATGAAAGAAACTATGGATGTTTAGTTTAAACAATTAAAAAATTAAATGTTATAGACAGATTTAAAAGCACTTCTTAATTGAAGATTCAAGCTGAAATATAATGTGCAATAATAATAATAATAATAATAATAATAATAGTAATGTATATACAAAGAAAGCTTGAATCCAGAAAACACAGTTTTATTTTGCTAATAATACATTTCCAAGATAAAAATGTGTTGGGGGCGAAAATACATTTGATTGCGTCCTCCAGAATGCCCGAGAGGAGATGCACCTGGCAGATTCCCCATAATGCCCCTATCTATCTATGCTTGATCAAGTTACAGTCTTGAAGACCTTTTTGACCTCTTTGGCTTTTCATTTGTTTGTCTGAAACAGGAGGAAAACAGTCTTTTATAGACAATTAGGGCTGCTGTGTACGCTGCCGCAGCTTTGACACTCGTGAACACAGCAGTCAGATTCGAGGACATGGGACCGTGAAAGTATGGCGGATGCCGAGGAGCCGTAAGTCTCAATGGACGAAAAAAGCTGTTAAATGCTGTTCTTTCGTAGCTAAACTCTCTTTTTTCCATTAACTTAGCATGGTTGAACCTTGTTTGCGTTCTTCTTCTAGGGAGAAGAAAAGAAGGCGAATAGAAGACCTGACTGAGAAGTTAGTGACGAATGTTAAATAAAGGTCTCTGACTGGTAGCAGGTTCGCGTTGCACAGCGAGCAGCGACTACTGGGCCAGAAGATAGAATATATGCTAGCAAGAGACAGTCCTAATAACCTAGTTAGTTGTTTGTACACGTTCTCCATTTATACAGTGAATCCTTTCCCACTGACAGACACGTAATTCAGGGACGTCGTTACAAAACAACCCTGGAATGACCAGCACATTACAACCTTACACCAAGTCCATACTACATACTAATCTTCAGCACGTTTTGAGTTAAAACTGAAAAAGAGAGACAATTAAAAGTACATATAAGGGTAAATGGCATAATATGGATAAATATGGAGAAATTAACTGTGCACATTCAGTCTTGATGTGTTATGTGTCCAGAATGGCTGTAGATGGTGGACACAAGGACGGTGGTTGTGACTGGGATGGCCGGTGGAATCACGTGAGGAAGTTTTTGGAAAGGCCCGGCCCGTTCACCCATCCTGACTTTGAGCCAAGCACTGAGGTGATACAGAAATCTTTCCATGAAACAGAATGCATGCCCCTTGTATGTCAGACAGAATCAGTCCAGTGTGGTGTTTCAAAGTACATTTCTGTTCTCTAAACATTCTGGTGGTTTCTTTATCTCAGTCACTACAGTTTTTGTTGGAGACGTGCAAGATTCTGGTCATCGGGGCAGGAGGGCTTGGGTGTGAACTTCTCAAAAATCTGGTAGGACATAGCTTTAATCTACATTATATTCATGTGTTTACTCTGGGGTAAGCAGAACAAAGACAAACTGTTTACTGGTTTACAAAAGCTCTTATGTAGTGTTGCTGTGCTTTAGGCTCTGTTTGGGTTTCGCCTTATTCATGTGGTTGACATGGACATTATTGATTTGTCCAACCTCAACAGGCAGTTTCTTTTCAGGTAGGTTTGCCTCTGTTTCTCTCAAGATGTTATTGTCTGACAGCCCTTTGAAAATAAATGAGACAGACCCTGTCACAGCATGATAATTTTGCCTCTTGGTGACTTTAGTACTGTAACAATTACTGTGTGATTAAAATTACATTGTATATGACATCTCATATGTCCTATAATTAATTGATTTGTTCATTTATTTAGGCCTAAAGATGTTGGACGAGCAAAAGCAGACGTGGCTGCTGACTTCATCAACAGACGTATCCCTGGGTGTAAAGTCGTCCCGTATCCTTTGCAGCAACAGTTTTCACAGCTGAATCACATCCCAAGTTTAGTTCACATTGTATAAAATATTTTATCTTGACCATTTTTCCTTATTAATAATATTTAGTCACTTTAAAAAGATCCAAGACTTTGATGAGTCTTTCTACAGGCGTAAGTGGGGTTTTATTCTAGGTGCATGCATTAACAGAGTTTACCGTGTAAACACCTCAGAGGTTTACAACACTCATCTCTTTGCAGAGTTCCACATCATAGTCTGTGGGCTGGATTCCATCATTGCCAGACGCTGGATGAACGGGATGTTGGTAGGAAAGACAAATTACTTTCAGCTGATTGGATTTCAGTGCTTTTACAGTGTTGAGTTGGGATTGGTGTTGCCTTCTCTAGATATCCCTCCTGAGTTATGAAGATGGTGTCCTGGATCCCAGCTCCATTATTCCCCTCATCGATGGAGGAACCGAGGGTTTTAAAGGAAATGCCCGTGTCATCCTCCCTGGCATGACTGCATGCATTGACTGCACACTGGAGCTGTACCCGCCACAGGTCTCTCTTCAGCAGCAATCTATCTTCTAGTGTCACTGTTAAGAGTCATATGTAAATTCATAAATAATAAGTTAATACTAAACCTTTCTGCTGTGGGGTTTGACTTGTTTTAAGAAGTAAAGATGCACTGATCGATTGGAGAAGATGAAATGGCTGGTTTTTAGCATGACCGGCCTTGACTGGTGACCGGCCTTAAGATAATCTGTAACAGTCAGGCTTAGAGGCACAACAGTCCACCTTTCATGTGCAGCTTGTATCATGTCATCTGCGTGAGGTTCACCCTCATGTCAGTACAGGGCATGTGTTCACTAGCGCATTAAAAGCACTTGGTGTACAAACAGCACACAGAGGAGCCCACAGAAGCACCTTGGAGAAGAGGAACTATGTCCAAATCTCTGACAAATGGTACACAATGAGAGAATTACAGGCTACAATTGATGTATGTATATGTACAGTGTATCCGACCTGGTGTAAAACACAGCAATTACAAACTACACACACTTAAAAAAAGAACTGTGTGCTCAGTAGGAATGATGTAGCAAACATTCTCCTGTTTCTGTTGGTGCATCTCTAGTAAAAAGCATCTGTGATGCACAGGAGGTGATGTTTCTCAGTTCCAGCTTCATCAACGGCTATCAAAAAAAAGAGCGTCACCTGCAAAAACCTACAGAGTTAACAAAAATGAGAGTAAAACATGTCAAATACAGAGAGATGGACAGGACATGGAGAGATGGACTTGGAAAGATCAGCTCAACTTTGGCCAAATATGTATTTACTGTGGTTTTGCCTTCGTTGGGTAGTGTAACAGTTCTTTGGCTGCTTTCTTTGTGCACAACAGAAAAGTAGTGCTTTAAATGCTATTATGCCTAAACTTAAATTTTATTATCTACAGATTAATTTCCCCATGTGCACCATTGCATCAATGCCGAGGCTACCTGAACATTGCATTGAATATGTCAGAATCTTACAGTGGCCCAAAGAGAAGCCATTTGGAGGCAAGCCATAATTTATTTTTACTTTTCCGCATCTAATCAAATCATGTTACCTTCTGACTGTGTACATTATTACAGTAAAGATTAACAGCCGGCTCCTCCTCCTCCTCCTCCTCCTCTAGACACCAGCTTAGATGGAGACAGTCCAGAGCACATCCAGTGGGTGTTTGAAAGAGCCCAAGAAAGAGCTGCAGAGTTTAACATTACAGGAGTGACATACAGACTCACTCAAGGTGAGCCTGTGAATAAAGAGACTAGAATTTGCTCAAGTCTAATGTGGAATTTCAGTCTGTTTATTGTTTGTTTGGCAGAACTAATACATTTCTTACAATAACAGGCATCTCTTTCACAAGTACCTATACTGTGATGAAATTAAAAACATGA